CTTCACCCAGTGTCTGATTTTAATTTCAGCATGATCCTCTACACCTGATGTGTTAGAACAACCAGATTTTTAGGATGAAAAAAATGGAGTGTGTGAAGAAATTTGCTTGAATACCACTACTCAAAGACTTCTCCAAATGTCTGGCTAAACAGTCTGATGGTCTGGGGAGAAGAGGACTTCTGGACATAAGCACATGCCCGAGGGGATCAGAGAAAACCGGAGTCTAACAAGTCTTGCAAATGCTATGGTTCACTCACTTATTTAATTTGATGATTTAAAACTGTGATAAGAGGCAGGCAAACTGTGGTGTCAAATTCAAAACAAAGTGTGGTGATCTGCCTTGTTTTCAGCTTGTTGCTATCTGATGAAAACACTTTTCCACAAGCAACACTGATGAGCAGATGGTGCTAATAAGACCAATTAAGTGCTAAGCTTCTGGAAATGTTTTTTGTTGAGTGACATCTTCAGACTGTTTTCTGCTAACATACATCTGAAGCCATGTGTTTCTAAGGTGCAATAGCATTAATATTTATGGTCACTGGAATTTTCATTTTCAAGAATATGGACTCAGACAAGACAAAACAAACCCCCAAACCCCAAAAAACCCCAAAACCCTCTGGCCCGATTCCAAAAACAGTATGCGAAGTTGAGTGATGAGATTCTAACCCTTTTGGGACTCTAGGGGCCTTACTCTAGGTCACTGGTTTCCAGTAACTGGTACATGAAGAAATTTTCTCTAGTCTGCAATGAAGGAAAAAAAATTATAAAGAAACCCCCCAAAAGTAATGGATTAGGGGGTATTTTTTCCCTTTTCCCTCTTAACTTCTATTTGTTTTTCCTGGTAGTTTGGAAGTCATTGATCCTATTCTTTTATTGATTTCTATCTACACAATATATTTCATTTGGGATGACAGTAGACAGAATTGAATTAATTATAATACATTGTCATCATTGATCCATGAATGATCTTTATTTTCTTTATTTTACTTTTAATTTTATATATTTATGTATTTATTTATTTTATTTGGAGAGACGGAGAATGCAAGCTGGTTGGGGGTGGGGTGGGGGTGGGAAGAGCAGAGGGAGAGAGAGAATCCCAAGCAGGCTCCATGATCAGTGCAGAGGCCCATGTAGGGCTCGATCCCACAACGCCCATGATCCCACCATCATGACCTGAGCTGAAATCAAGAGTTGGATGCTTAACTGACTGAGCTACCCAGGCACTCCTTAATTTTATTTTTTAAATTTACTTTTACTTACCACTCCTCCCCACAAAAAACTTTGAGGGATAGTCAGCCAAGCCAAGAACCAAAGTACTACCAATAATTTACATCTACCTAAATGTTCTTTCCTTATCCCAACTCCCTGCCTATCTCCCTTCCCCAAGTATACGGTGCCTTCTTTCTGTATGTGTGCATCTCCAAATTTCTCCTTTTTATAAGGACACTAGTCATATTGGATTGAGACCCACTCTAATGACCTCATTTTAACTTGAATAAAATCCTTAAGACTCTATCTCCAAATAAGGTCAACATTCTGAGGTACTGGAGGTTAGGACTTCAACATATGAATTTGGGGAGACACAATTGAAACCAGAACAACAGAGAACTTACTTTTTATTACTATCAAGTTAACAGTGAGCCCCCTTGAAAAAGTTCATAGAGGACTTGGTTCAAGTCCTTTCCCAGAAAGGAAAATGAGAAGAGGGATAAAAACGAATAATGGAAAAAAAAGAAATTTAATAGTGGACATCTATAATTTTTGCCTGCCCAGAATTTTTCTGTTCTTCTTTTGGTAATATCATCTTGCTTTTGCCCTGTGTGTGGTTCAATTGGGAACTGAAACAGAGTACTCCATCCTACTATGCTGAGTTATTGGAGTAGGGATGGCAACATGACCTATCATGAGCCAATCTTAACATCTGAGAATGAGCTCTTTAGCTCTTTAGAGAATGGTGTGCTCTGTCTCCTGGGGTTGAGGGTGGTCAAACTTGACACCTCTTGAAAAGAATCTAAGTCAACATGGGGGAAAATAGAACTGAAAGATGGAGCAATGCAGAATTCAGGCATCGTCTTGAATTCTTAGATTCAGCCAGGCCTGAAGTTCACCCTTTGAACTTCCAAGTTAAATGAGCTAATAAATTTCCTTTTTGCTTCATGTTGGGCTCCTGTTATTTGTAACTAAGAGTCTTAACAGATGCTCATTCAGTTTTTGAGGAAAGATAGTAGGAAATAGACATTTACAGAAGTGAGGTAACTTGACACATGCTTCAAGTGAGCACATAAATAACAGGATAGTTCTAAGACTTCCTAAAATGAGCTAATATATTATCTCCCTCCTTTTTTTCTTTCATTGATTACTTAAGAGCCTCACTTTTTGACCCCTTTTGGATTATGGGGTTTTTGTTTTGTTGCATGTGCTTTCATATACTTATCATTCTTTCCTCTCCTAAAATAACCCAGTGAGAAGGAAAACACCCATATTGTCTATAAATGGCTGGGTCTGAGCATCACTGATGAGCTTTAATTCATGTGTACTTAATAAATATTTTATTATTAAAACATGCTCAAAGATTCCATATTTATTTATGGAAGTGTATTAACCTGTGGGTAGTTGCCAATTTATGAACAGGTTGTAGCCTAGAAATTTGTTAAAAAAAAAAATAACTGTGGTTTAGAATACATCTTCCCACAGGAATAATGTTACATAACATGGTCACAAACTAGCAAATTAGTCTTTTAAGCTATAAGGCAACTGTGGAGAGAGGCAGTATAATGTGTACTGGATAAGAATTTGCTTCCTGGATCCAGGCTGCCTGGGTTCAAATCCCACCTTTGCCATTTATGCCACTTACAAGTTTGTCCTTGTGCAAGTTACACCCACTAGAATACTTAATATTAAAAAGACTGAAGATATCAAGTGTTCGTGAGGAGGTGGGACAATAGGAACTCTGATACACCGATGGTGGGAATATAAAATGGTACAACCACTTTGGAAACTGTTGGTAGTTTCTTAAAAAATTAAATTTACACTTATCATATGATGTAGCTATTCTATTCCCAAGAGAAATGAAAGCATATTTTCATATAAATACTTATACATAAATGTTTATAACAACTTATTTTTGTAATAGTCTCAAATTGTTAACAATCCAAATTTTATCGAGAGGTGAATGGATAAACAAATTGTTGTCTATCTACGCAATGGAATACTACTCAGTAATAGAAAGGAACAAAGTATTGATACATGCTACAACATGGGTGAGTCTCAAAATAATTATACCTAGCGAAAGAAGCCAGACAAAAAAAAAAAAGTACTTATTGTAGGTTTCTGTTTGCATAAAGTTCAAGAAAATAAAAATAATTTATAATGATAAAAAGGAAATCATGGTTGTTTGGGGATGGAGATGGGTAGTAGAGCAGATTGGATTACAGAGAGGAATGGGGAACTTTTGGGGCTGATGATGTATTCATATGTCATAGGGGTATTCATATGTCAATACTCATCAAGTAGTACACTTTATATATGTGATGTTCATTGTATGTTAATTATTCCTCATAAAAGTATTTTTATTATACCTCATAAAATGTATTTTTAAAAAGATTTTTGTTGCTATTTATACTTCCTAATTCCTGGAAAGTCTGAAAAACAAAGTATTACATTTGTACTGTCCTCCTCCATTTTTTACTAAAACAACAACAACAAAAACCCACGCTAGAACAAAACAAACAAGAAAGCAAACAACTCATCCTGTTTTCATTTATTTTTAAAAATTTATTTATTTTTTAAAGATTTATTTGTTTATTTGAGAGAGAGGGAGACAGCACAAGTGGGAGGGACAGAGATAGAAGGAGAGAGAATCTTAAGCAGACTCCATGCTGAGAGTGGAGCCCGAAGTGGGGCTCGATCTCACGACCCTGATATCATGACCTGAGCCAAAACCAAGAGTTGGACACTTAACTGACTGAGCCACCCAGGCACCTCCTCATCCTGTTTCTTAAATGGAAATTTAAAAATTTAAAAGGCAAGAAAATTTATTTCATAAATCATATCAGCCTATACCAATATTATTAAAAATGTAACACATTAAGATATTAGGCATTGTTATGCCATACTGAACCATATTCTCATGTGTTATAAACCAAATAACATAAATATTGTGGTATTAAAACATTTCAGCTTTTTATGAAACATTTTGAGACTATTAAGATGCCATGAAGACAGAGCCCTTCTAGATTATAGTCTAATATCATGAACACCATTTCCTCTGACACATTAGTTGCTGGTAATTAGTTGGTTAATCAAAAAAGTGGTCAATGCAATGAGCAGTAAATAAGTCCTAGAGATTTAATGCACAGTGTAATGAGTATAGACCACATGGTATTATAATCAACAAACTTGCTAAGACACTAGATCTTAATTATGCCAGCCACTAAAAAGAAATGATCATATGATGTGATGGAGGTGCTACAATGGCAATCATTACAATATATAAATGCATCAAATTAACATGATGTAGACCTTAAATTTACACAATGTTATAGATCAAATATATTTCAATTTTTAAAAAAGTGGTTGAAGGGATGGGGCGCCTGCGTGGCTCAGTTGTTAACCTTTCCCTTCGGCTCAGGTCATGATCCCAGGGTCCTGGGATCGAGCCCCGCATCGGGATCCCTGCTCGGCGGGAAGCCTGCTTCTCCCTCTCCCACTCCCCCTGCTTGGGTTCCCTCTCTCACTGTGTCTTTCTCTGTCAAATAAATAAAATAAATAAATAAATCTTAAAAAACAAAAGTGGTTGAAGGGAGAAAATAATACCAAAAACTACATGTCTTAAAATTAAGGTTTGTATATTGTGCATTTATTCACCAAATCTTCAGTGAAACCAAGTTGTTTCCTTTGAATTTTGGCCCCTGATTAAAAGTTTGGATTTCCCTTCCCTCCCTTTCTTTTCCCTTCCTTTCCCTTCCCTTCCCTCCCCTTTCCCTCCCTTTTCCTTCTTTCCTTCCTTCCTCTTTCTTTTCTTTTTCTTTCTCTTTCTTTCTTTCTTTCTTCCTTCTTTCTTTGTCTTTCTTCTTTTCTTCTTCTCTCTTTTTCTTTGCACAAATCACATTCATTTGCAGTATCTTCAATTTTATGGTTTCTACTTCATTAACATGGAAATAGAATATAAAGACACTGCACAGGGGCACCTGGGTGGCTCAGATTGTTAAGCGTCTGCCTTCAGCTCAGATCTCCAGGTCCTGGGATGGAGCCCAACGTTGGGGGTCCCAGCTCAGTGGGGAGTCTGCTTCTCCCTCTCCCTCTGCCCCTCTCCCACTTGTGCTCTCTCTGTCTCTCTCTCAAATGGGTAAATAAAATCTTTAAAAAAAAAATAAAGACATTGCGGAACAGTCTGAGTGCAGAACCTTTTTGGATTTTTACAATTAAGGATTTTCTTTTTCAATTGCCTCACTTGCATGTAATTTGATAATATTTTTTAGCAACTCACTTTTTAAAAAGATTATTTATTTATGTATGAGAGAGAGAGCACACGCGAGCAGGGGGAGGACCACAGGGGGAGGGAGAGGGACAAGCAGACTCCACACTGACTGCCAAGCCCCACCTGGGACTTGATCTTGTGACCCTGAGATCATGCCCTGAGTCAAAACCAAGAGTCCAACACTTAGACTGAGCCACGCAGGCTACCCTAGCAACTCACCTTTTAAGCATTTTTAAGCATTTGACTTAGTTTCCACAGAATCAGAGCCTAACTTACTTGCACTTGTATTTCTCATTTTATGTAGTATTTAATTGAATTATTTAATTATAATAATCAGTACAACTGGCATCAACAGACTTGAGGATAAACAGCTGACTCTTGGGTAGCATGAAACAGTGTAGAACAGGTTTCCTAGGCTTGAGCATTCAGAGCCTTATGGCTATCAGTCAAATATGTTTTACCTTTAGGCTCTCGTTTAGAGAATTCATTTGAAATACTTTAATTTTGTACCCTATGTATTTTATGTAGAAAGGTGAAGTCAAAAGAAAAGATAGTGTAATCACAGAAAAATGAAGGATGGCAGTAATTTTAAAGTAAAATTCACGGAGTAAGATGATAAAGCAATCTGCTAGAGTAAGTGATGTATTTGAGTTATAATTGTGAAAGAAGTATTACATTAGTGAAATATTAACCACATCAGCACTTTGGGAAGGTTTATATGATCTCAGGGGAAATAATGGTCAAAATTCCAGACCCTAATTCTAAATACAGAAACAAGAACTTTCATGTATTGCAAAAGCAATGATTGTGTCACTGTGACTATTTCAGTTAAGTAATAAAAACAAAAACGTGCTTTTTATATTGCTTATCAGTTCTTCCATTTCATCTAGTTTCACATTTTCTGCACCAAATTATGACTGTGTTTGAATTGTCTACTATTACGTTTTCTATTGCAGGTTATATGGCTGAGTTTTATCTTTGGAATTTCCGGTGGAATTACACAAAAGAAAAATTGCAGATCTTGCACCAGTAGCTAATTTATCATATTTATCAATCTCTGAGGGGATTCCTAGGAAATATAATCATGCACTTAGACTAAGAACTTACTATATGGCATATGAATACAGAAGAGAACTAACTACCCATGGAAATTTCTTGGAAGACTGCCTGTGCTCTAAAAGGTGCAAAACTGGTAAAATCAATATTTATTAGGCATGTATAATTTCCATAGCTCGATTAGTGAGTAGTAAAATACACACTGGTTCAGGGACTAATGTTGCTATCTCTCCCTACTTTAACTGTGCAATTCTAATAACCCAGGGTAGGTTCACATGAAGGGATAAACAAGGTAAGTGGAATCCTTTTATCTATATTCTAACTGCTATTCTAGAAGACTATGCCACTCAGTATTGAACAAAAATGGAAAACTTCAGTTGTTTTTGTTTTGTCTAACTTTCTATCTAATTGAATCCTCGATAACAAGTAGATAAAGCATCAGTATATTGGAATTTTTTGTCTAGATGTATTACTTTTTAAAACTTTTTTGTGTTTTTTTTTTTATTGTGGTAAAATGTACATAACATAAAACTCACCGTTTTAACTATTTTGAAGTGCAAATTTGGTGGCACTAAGTATACTCACAATGTTGTGCAACCACCACTGCTACCCACTTCCAGAACTTTCATCATCCCCAACAGAAACTTCCTATCCATTAAAATAATAACTCCCCATTTTCCCATGTTCTTAGCCCCTGATAACCTCTATTATCCTTTCTGTCTCTATGAATTTGCCTATCCTAAGTACCTCCTATAAATGAAATCATACAATATTTGTCCTTATGTGTTTGGCTTATTTCACGTAGCATAATTCTTTGTAGGTTCATCCATGCAGTAGCATGTATCAGAATTTCATTCCTTTTTAAGGCTGAATAATATTCCATATATATATGTATATATATACACACATAACAAACACATACACCATTTTGCTTACTCATTCATCTGTTAATGAACATTTGAGTTGTTTCCACCTTTCAGCTACTGTGAACAATGCTATTGTTAACATTGGTGTGGAAAAATCTGTATGAGTTCCTGCTTTAAATTCTTTTGTTTATATATTGGGAATGGAATTGCTAGGTCATATGGTAATTCGATGTTTAATTTTTGAGAAACCATCATACTGTTTTCCAGAGTGGCTGCACAGTTTTAAATTCCTATCAGCAGGGTGCCTGGGTGGCTCAGTTGGTTAAGCGATTGCCTTCGGCTCAGGTCATGATCCCGGGGTCCTGGGGATCGGGCCCCATGTCGGGCTCTCTGCTCAGCAGAAGCCTACTTCTCCCTCTCCCTGCTGCTCCCCTTGTTTGTACTCTTGATCTCTCAAATAAATACATAAAAGCTTAAAAAAAAAAAAAAGCATCTGCCTTCGGCTCAAGTCATGATCCCGGGTTCTGGGATGGAACCCTGCGTCGGGCTCCCTGCTCAGTGGAGAGCCTGCTCCTCCCTCTCTTCCCTGCTTGTGTTCTCTCTTGCTATCTCTCTCTCTCTCAAATAAAAGCTTTAAAATAAACAAACAAATAAATAAATTCCTATCAGCAATGCACAGGGTTCAAGTTTCTCCATATCCTTTGCCAACACTTGTTATTTTCCATTTTTAAATATTTTAATGGATGAGCAGCATCTCACTGTGGCTTTGATTCGAATCTCCCTAATGATTAGTGATGTTGAGCATCTTTTTTATGTGTTTATTGGCCACTTCTATATCTTCAGCTAGCCCAGTTTGCTTGACTGGGTTAGAGGATGGACGTGACTCAGGCCTTAACTCTGAAAGGTTTGAGCCATGATCGGCCACTGAGGTCTATGACTGCTTCAATCACCTGTTCATAATTATTTCTAGACATGGAGACACCAAAAGATGCCCTCATGAATCCTTTGAGTTACACACATAATCCTGCCTCGCTTCTCATGGTAATCAGGGTAGGTTAGGGTAGAGTAACTTCTTCCTTTGACTGCTGGTCCACTGGCATGAGGAGCCCAAAGAGACAGGTGCGGGGCGGGGAGGGGGGCACCTGGGGGCTCAATCGGTTAAGCGTCTGCCTTTGGCTCAGGTCATGATCCTGGAGTCCTGGGATGGAGCCCTGTGTCAGGCTCCCTGCTCAGCGGAAAGCCTGCTTCTCCCTCTGTTGCTCCCCTGTTTGTGCATGCTCTCTCTCTCATAAACAAATAAATAAAATCTTAAAAAAAAGAGAGACGGGTTAATAGTCAGAATTTCTAGGTAAGTGAAATTCTTACTGTGTTCTCTGGTAGAAGGATTCTCTTGAGAATGAGAATTTAATCTGGCAAAATCTAGAGTTTCAGAGAAGGAAAGCACAGAATCTGAAAATATGTCACTGATAATGATGGTGAAAGTGATTAATCTCACTTCTTGTTTTCTGGATCTATGTATTCCAACCATGGGGGACGTAGCACCATTTATAGATCACTGATTTAAAGCTTTCACTACATTTTTGGGGACTGTGCTCTCCCCCACCCCCATTCCCAGAATGTTGTCCTTGAATTGGAGAGTTACTTGAGCCTATAAAAGTTTATTCAAGCACCCAATAAGCTAGATGCTTTGGGGTCAAGAGGTATGTGAGAAAACCAGTGTATCTAGTGCTCATGTGCCCACTGACACACCCCTTTGGCCATAAGATGGGTCCCTTCATTAGAGGTAATATGTCAGTTGCTGTGCTGATAGACCAGTCACTCTAGAAGCCTCTGAAACTGTCCCGCCCCACCGTCCCAGCTCAGCCAACATAGTGAATCAGAGAAAATGCAATGTCTAGTGCCTCCACCAATACTTAAAGAATTCAGGACTAGAGATCTCCACAATATGCCTGTGCAATCCACTTTAGTCCCTACAAAACGTTTCAAGTAAAAACATTTCAGGCTACAATCATTACCACCATTAAGTACCATAGTTATTGCATATCCCAGCACTTCACTTGACTTTCACCCATATCTCAACTGTGACTGATCCAGTTGCCAAATCCCGTCCTACGCGCCTGTCTTCTAGGGCTCCTGGGTTTAGTGTCTTAGATCATGTTTCCTCAGAAATGTACTCTGAGGTGGATATTGAAATGCAGAGGTTTCGTGCCTGCTTTGGCAGCACAGAAACTAAAACTGGAAATGCAGGGGGTTTATTGGGAAGTGTTCTCGAGACCACCACAGGTGAGGGAGTAAGGAAGGCAGGCGTGAAGAGGGAGAAGTTCAGCTGTGATGCAGTTATAACAAAGGCTTTGGCAGATCCCTGGAAATCTCTGAAGCTGAGTTTGCCCTTCAGGGATGTCTCAAATCGAGGCAAGGCTCCTTGGCCCCCAGTCATGGGTTAGGCTGTGGGAGGGGCTGTCGACGTGGCTGAAGCAGCTTCCTTCGGCCACTGGCAACACGCTGAAGGGTGCTCAGCTGTGAACCACCAGCAGTCAGCAGTCCCGGCGGCGGCAGGGAGGAATGCTGTGGGCCAAGGGCAGATGTGGGTGGTAGGCCCCCGCACTTAGTACACTTAACGCGGAAGCAGAGTTGAGACAAATGAATTGCCGCAGACTCTATTTGGGAAGTGATCTCAGGGCGCCACAGGAGAGTGAAAAAGGAGGAAGGAAAACCAGTGCAAAGGTGTGCTATTCAACTGGTTGCTGCATTAGAAGACTGCCCCTCGGTTCTGTGAAATCTTCTGAGGGGCTGTAGGAAATCGTCCCAGAAGCTTCCACCTGGGGAAGAAAGAGAGAAGCATTTATCAGTTGGCTCTCATTGGTCAAGGGTAAAGCCGTTAAAGCTCCCTGTGCTTCTGGGTTTCCTGTGCACGAGAAAAGCTGCTATCAGGTTGCATCTATAAGAAGCTTGTAGAAGCCAGTATGGAATGGGTTACCTCAGAACAGGGCAGGACTGAAAGGGTCTACCAAAGCCATCTAGTGCTTCTGGAAATACCCGGCAGAATTTAAAATGTAAACACTTTATAATCCACAAATTCCACTTAAAGAAGTTTATACTCCAGAAATCTGTGCTTATAGAGGCAAATACCTGTGTGCATTTGACAGGCTCTGGGGCCAACTGCTTGGGTTTAAGGCCAGGTTCCGTCATTGTAAATGAGGCACCTGTCAATCTGTCATGTCTCAAACAGGGTTGCTACGTGAGAGTATTAAATGTTGCTGAGAGTATTAAATAAATTAAACCATGCAACTGGCTTTGGACAGTGCTTTGCCCACAGAAAGGCCTCTGTGCATGCCAGTTATTATTAACAATACTCTTAACAAGGATATTGGTTAAAGCTACTGTTTGTAGAGACAAAAGATGAGAAATAGCCTAAATACTAGGTAAAGAAATTATAGTACAGCCATACACAGGAAACTATCATATGCAACGTATGTTGTAATGAAAAAACAAACAAACAAACCAGAGCAAAGCCAAGTGTAGAAAAGAGTGTCTAGTTTGTGCTCTTATTTGTGTAAAAAGCACATGTAAGTACATATGCAATAGAGATTATTAGTGCTTACCAAACGCTGGCTCTTCTGCTTCCTGGGCACACAGAAGATTGCTCTTTGCAGTTAAGTGGACCATGCGATTAGCTCTGGCCAGGGTGAGTCCAAGCAGGAGAGAAAAGCTCCTGTACAACCTTCCAGCTCCCTCTTCCTGGAAGACACATGCTGGGATGGCGGCGTCACAAGGTGATGTAGCTTAAACATGTAGTTTGATGCAAAACCAAAAACCTTTGTTGTGTCCAGCCACAGAGATACTGGGTTAAATTTGCTACCACCACGTAACCCAGCCTACCTGGGCTAGTATAATATGATTCTGTAGAGGAGACAGAGAAATGAAAGCCCTAGTTTTTCCTAGGGAGGAAAACCAGGGGACCTAGAGTCAGGGGTTGGAGGGAGACTTATTTTGTCCTCTATATCTTTTCATGTTACCTGAATCTTTAAACTACAAGTGTAAATTAATTTTTTTTAATTTAAAAAATTTGGGGGGCACTGGGGTGGCTCAGTCAGTTGGGCATCCGACTCTTGATTTTGGCTCAGGTCATGATCTCAGGGTCGTGGGTTCAAGCCCCACGTAGGGCTCTGTGCTCAGTGGGGAGTCTGCTTGAGATTCTCTCTCTCCCTCTGCCTTTCCCCCTCTCATGCTCTCTCTCTCTCTCAAATAATAAATAAATAAGTCATTTTAAAAACTTTAATATTAAGTACAGTCTGGGTTAGACAGGAACCATCAACCTTCCCTAAAACTTAAAAGGTGCAGCCCCCACCCCCCTCAAAACAAGAACAAAAAGACAAAACAACCTCCCCCCACTCCCCGAAAAAGACAAAAGCACAGAAATCATTTAGCCAGATTATGTTATTTTCTCCAAGGATGTTTAGCAGCTTGAATAAAGATGCAGAAAAAGAAACTTTCGGACAAGAAAGGCAATAAAGACAGGAAGGAATGGGGTCTGTGGTTTTGCGTGGATGGGGAGAAAGTGGTGGAGTTATAGCACTGAACTTCTTGAAGGGGTTTCTGCCGTGGCACCAGTGAAGAAGTAACGTGGAGAAACAGGTGCTCGTGGCTGGGGAGTCAGACACCTGAGGAAAAAACTTTTACTAGTTATGACGAGGTCTGAGAACTGGCAATCGAGGTAGGGTAAAGGGAAGGTAGCATGGTTTTGATATTTTAATGCAACTCCTCTGAGACTTGGTCTTGTTTGATTATCTCAATATGCTTATAATATTCTGAGTGATTTCAAAATACATTGCATAGTTCGTAACACAGATGGTGACAATGAGAGAAGTCTTCATCATTTTCCTTCAAGAGCTTTGGCAAAGAAATTTATGATTTTCTGTAAGTTTTATCTGCAAAGGATGGTATGACGTATTGCTCATCACTAGTGACCAAGCTGGATATTTGCAGGACAGCTATGACAAAAAAGGATGGCAGTTTCACAATAAGGATGAATAATGCACAAGATAAAAGATAACCTTGACAGAGAACCCAGTTAAGAGGGAAATTGGAAAATACTTAAAGATCCTGATTCGTACCAATAGGCCATTCTATGGGATTGCATCTAAAATAATAAACAATATTTATACAGATGATTTCCTTGAGTTGCAGAAATTTTTTCTTAGTGAGTAGAGAACTACGGCATTTTGGAAAATAGATGAAGGATTTTACTAATACGAAATAATAGAGCCTTCCTCAGTAATACTATAGCAAATGTTGTGGAAGAAAATTAATCAATCATAGTAGTTATTCGGCCCCTACTGTGTGCCTGGACAGGCGTAGCTGTTTGAAGAGCTAGGTAATCCCTGATTTTAAGGTACTTTTGGTTCATTTGGAGAGATGTAGAATAATGGAATACTCTTCACAAGAAAGATGGAAATTAAAAATGATAGTAACCACTGACGAATTGCAAGGTAAAGAATAAAAGTGGTATAAAAATTCAGAGAAAGGTGAGCTCAGGGTACTTGAAATGTATGTTGAGGGCTCAGTGGAAGTTACTGTTGGCTGGGTTCAGAACCGGAAGCCCCAGGTTAGAATCTGCTGCTGTCGTTTACTCGCTCGTGACTTCGAACAGGTTTATTGAATTTGCCTGTTTCTTAACTTGTAAAGTAGGAGTGACAGTACATACCTTGCAGTACTGTGAAGAGTGTGCCAGTCACTGTCCTGCTGTCCTCAGATCTGTTTCCTGCCCTTTCTGTATCACAGTCAAGTGGGGGTGGCAAGAAGCTCCATTTCCCGAGTGCTCTGCACTGAACTGAGTCCTGCTAGATTCATATACTGGAGCTCCTCAGCCCCCAAGATGATTGGATCTGAAGATAGGTTCCTTAGGAGACAACTAAAGTTAAATGAGGGCATAAGTGTGGGGCTCTAATCCAATAGGGCTGTGGCCTTAGAAGAAGAGGTAGAGAGAGATCTGTCTCTCTCCTCTATGTCAGGACACAGCAAGAATGCAGGAAGAGAATCCGCACCAGAAACAGACCACGCCGGCACCTTGATCTTGGACTTTCCAGCCCCCAGAACTCGGAGAAATATGTTTCTGTTGTGTAAGCCACCCCCAGTCTATGGCATTTTCTTATGGTGGCCCACGCTGACTCCTAGAGCGGGTTTCCACCTCAGGAGGGTCAGGCCAATGGCAGATACAGAAGAGTAGAAAGTGGGAGGAAGGGAAAAGCCAGAGTCTATCTCTCTTCTCTGTTTCAGCAGCATCTCCAGCTTCTTGCCACCTCAACTCCCTGTATTTAGGCTGATCTAGCTTCTAGCTTCTGCTGGGGAAGTCTGATCCTAGACCCCAGCAGCAACAGCTCCTTTTCTTTTTGCCTTTCAAGATTTGGGGTGCTTGTAGCTTTCTGCTGTTACTAATCTCTGGGTTGCCTCACTGTCTTCCACTTCATTACTGTCAGCTCTCCCATCACCTGTGTTATCAGTTTTCTGGATTAAATGCCCTCTATTATAAATATGTAAGTGTGCTGTCTGGTTGAATTTTGACTAAGACAAAGAGTAAATCTTAAAATGGAATATTGTGAAGCTGTAATATGCCTTATAAGTAATAAATATATGCACACAGATGTTATACTACACATATCTGTCTTTGCCTACCCTGCCCATGATGCCTGACTGGCCATGCCTGTGATATGTCTTCTTTGATCTAATTAATTATTCTAGAGGACCCAAAGCGGGCTCATCACAGGTCACAGTGTTGACCTAATCACAATCCCTCTCTCAGAAACTGGAACTAAGGGACAAAGAGAGACATTCTAGCCAGTGGTAGTCACTGGGGCTGAGATGTCAAGCTGTGAAGTTCATGACCATGTTCTGGTAAGTAAAAAAGAATCTAGTTGAGAGATAGGACCAAAGAGTAGCTCACATGGCTCTTGAGAAGTAGAGAGTGTAGCCTTCGTTCCAGATAACTTTCAGCTCCCCAGTATCAGTTTTGTTGTATAGGCTTGGTATTCCTACCCTCACGTTTCATGAGATTCTTTAAATGCTTTCCATAAAGGTACCTTCACTGGGGCTAGCTTATTTGGATATCTGTTATCTGTGTTTTCGAGTCCTTGACTAGAACACCCTGTGCATCTGTGTGTGCACGTGCGCGCGCGCGCACACACACACACACACACACTTCTGCAGACTTTGAGCTGTCTTTAAAACTAGTTAGCTTGTAATTAGGCAAAGAGACATTTATGTGGAACTCTGTTCAGGATGAACAACATGAGCAAAAGTTCATGGTTGATAGAGATGAGACTCTAGAATATCTGGTTGACTGCTCTGCTTGTTTTAACTACCATAGAGTTTACCAATACGTCTAAAGGCAAATTGTTTTTAAGTTAAATATAGTTGGAATTTTATAGCCCTTACTCTACATAGTTAACCAATAAGCTGGTGTTCCCTGAAGCCTGATTTAAAATAACATAATTATAACATTCACAACAGAGCAGTAATCATTACATTAAAATATATTAAAAACTAGATTTATAAGCAGCATGTTTCCTTCATGCCCTGAAGGTCATGCCACCAGGTTTCTACAAAACTGGGTCAGGGAGAAAATGCAGTAAAGAAGGGGCTCTCTCTGGAAACTATCCTATTTGTAATTTCTTGAAGATAAATTTTTGAAACTCAGGGCACCTAATGGATCTTAACTACCAGATGCAACACAGTTTTTGTGTGTTGCTTTGTCTTGCTAGTAGGTGTTCTTCTGTCATTCATTCTCTGCCTGGAAGAATCTTGCTACTGGGATGAACGTTCCTGTGTTGATCAACTGGTTACATTCGAAGACAGGCTGGAATCTGGTTTTTGATGTCAATGTGAAAATGTCAATGTGCAAGAAGGGACGTGAATGGAAATGTGAAATATGCAGCCAGAGGAAAGTCCCTGTTACAAAGTTTTAAAAGATATTGATCAGCTTCACCAATATCTGGGATTTGTCTGGAAGTTGTGCCTTTTAAAACAAAGAGTATTTTCTGGACACAATATTTGCATGTGCTATGGTGGGTTTTAAGCTGATTACACAAATCCATTTATTAATGTACTGTACTAGTATTTATTGCTTTGCATTGCATTGCATTGTTGTCAATATCTGTCTTTTAAAAAAAGATTTTATATATTTATTTAAGAATGAGAGAGGGAGAGAGAGAGAGAGAGGAGGGGCAAAGGGAGAGGGCCGGGCAGAGGGAGAGACAATCTTGAGCAGACTATGCGCTGAGCGTGGAACCCAACACGGGGCTGGATCTCACAGCCCTGAGACCATGACCTGGGCCGAAACCAAGAGTCTGAAGCTTAACCCACTGAACCACCCAGGCACCCCTCGACATCCGTCTTTTAAGTTTTGGCACTTTTCTTTTCTTTAAGTTCCCCTCACTCTTTGGACATCACCATGAGATGAACATGCTCTGTAAGCCCATTGGTCCCAGGAAGTGGATGAGAGGCACATGGAGCAGAGCTACTTCAGTCTGCCCCTAACAGGCACAGCCTACACCAGCCAACCACAAGCTCATGGGCTAAATAAATAGCTATTGTCGTAAGGGTAATGAAAATTTGTGGTTGTTTGTTAAGCATCATTGTTGCAGCCATAGTTAACTGGTACAACAATAATGGTAGTTTATTATTGAACTCAGTAGTTCCAGTAGCAACCTTTTGATTCCCTCTTTTGTGGTTGTGACAAATGTAATAGCTCCCCCAGTGAATTAGTTTATGGTGTTCTGGGAATCATTCTGGAAGACCGGTCTAGAGTTTGCTGCTCCAGTACTTCAAGCAGTTTTTAATGATCTATTTCCTTTTCTGCTTAAGATAACTATACCACCTCACATCCATTAGGATGGCTACTACAG